AAAAGACAAATAAACATATATAGTTCTATATTATTATCACACATTTATAATAAATGTTCCTTTGTCAGGGTGCAACTATTCAGCTTTCTCTGGATTTGATTCTTAATTCCATTAATTTCGATTTGATTATTGAGGCTAAGTTAACATTAATTTTATATAGGGAATACTTTAAAAATAATTTTTAACTACACTTAAACTTTATTTAGGACAGCAAACAAAAACATACTGAATAAAACTTTTAAACAACATAGCTAGAAAACAGAAACCATATCATGTTACATTCAACGTGTTTTGATTGGATAAGCGAGAACACGTTGTCAAGTAAAGAAACGCTTATATTATATATAATATTTAAATATAAAACATTCAATTAATATCAGAAAGTCAAAGTGTTTTTCCCCTACTTTGGGAATGGTGCTGGTACAGTTTAACGGTACCGGACAGATTGGGAAAAAATCCATCGGTTTGACTTAAATTGGGAATTTTATTTTAAATGCAAAATATTTATTGGGAATTTCTTTTATCCAGGGAGGTGATGAAAATTTTGCATAATTATACACTTTAAAATCATGTATTATTAACTTTAAAGATTATTTTTGCTGCTTGAGGTTGAAAAAAAAATTGATAATCATAACAATTGTACATAAATAATGTTTAGTAGGTGTGAAACATTAAGTACGAAATGAACTGGGTACGAATACAGGGGTTTTTTTTGGCCAATTTTATAGCCGTTATTCGGTCATATTCCCAATTGAAAATAGTATGTTTTTTTCCCAATTTTGATACAAAAATTCCCAATCGAAAACTTAAAAAATTTTTTTAAAAATCGATCTTTGGGGGAACGTAAAATTAAGCAAATAGCCGGCGTCTAAACAACCCACGTGTTAAGTAGACGCTTGATTTCTTAGTATAAGTTTATCGAGCGTCTTACGATACCGACGACCTTCGAAAGTGAAAGTAAATCAAAATGTTTCACACGTTTAAAAAGCACTGATAAAAACAAAAAAAATGATTTAATGTTTACGCAAGCGACTCTCTCGGTAAAGAGTTGTACTTCTAAAACGGTAACGGCGAATGAAACTGCAAGTTCTAATGGGAAATCCTTCAACGGTGACCGTGAGTTACCACAATGATGTTCCTTCTCGGGGTTTTAAAAGTTCTAGCGACCAGTTTAAATCAGATACAGTTGTCCCTGTCAATGATCAAATGTTATTAAGTTCCAACAAATACGAGTTGAAGTATGCATTGTTGTTTTATAGTGGTGCAAAAGTTTGGTATTGTTGCAAATTGTGCGAGTTTTTTTCAGCTACAGATGACAGATAACTCATTATCATATAAATTTGCATGATAGACATTGAGAGAATATTTGTTTTTTGAAATTTATAATTAAGAAATTTTATTTAAAAATGACATTCTTGTTCAAATAAAATTTACCAAATAAGTATCGATGTATGAAAAACAGATAAAAACAAAATGATAAGATTTACTCAGAGCCAATTAATTACTATATCTACAATGTATGCACAATACAATAACATAACATTAAAATAAACTGTTATTTTCATCATAAAATTTTATTTCCTATTTTATAAAAACTAAAAAGAACTATTAGTTACACACTTCTAAAGGTGCTAATTTAGTAATTAATAAACCTGTGTTTATAATGCTTTATTCAAAATTGTTTCACACTTCTAACTGTTCTTATCTGTTATATAAAAACATATTTTATTTAATCAATATTTTTATGGTATTTAATTTTTGGATAACAAAAAAAATGAAATAATATATACATGTAATTTAAAAAGTGGTGATGAAAACACCAGGGTTTTGAGGGTGAAACATCCAGGGGTGAAACATCCAGGAGGTGTAAAGTCAAAACACCATACAATAACACAGTTCAAAAATTTGAAAATCAGAGACCTACTTTTGTGAACTAAATCCTATAATATTAGAAAAGGAATATATTGCCTCAGGAAACTTGAAAATATTGTGGGTTTTTTTCCCAATTTTGGGCAAAATACCGCTAAAATTCCCAATCTCAAGGGTATGGGTCATGTTCCCAAAATACTGGAAAAAAACCCTGGAATATCACTCATGTGGTTTTACTTGGTTTTTATCGTAATATCACTTATCAATACGGAAGGCTCCGAGGCATGCATTACTGTTTTTAGAGGAAATTTTCAGTGTTAAATTTGGAATTTATCAGTCATGAATTGGAAAATTTGCTGTCTATTTTCTGTTGGGAACGGTGCCGTTTTCCGGTATCAGTTATATAAGGAAAAATACTGGGTTGTTGTTAAGATTTTAGTCATTGACTAGATTTCTACCAGAATTTTTTTGTTTTTACTCTTCTTGTGCAAGTTGTGGTTATAGAGTGTGATGAACATATTGACTCTTACTTTGTATTTGCTTAGATACAAAGACAGTTGCTAAAAAATATCAAGATCTCAAGTTTGTTTTGCCCCTGTCTTGCATATCTGTAATGGAACAGAACAGTTATTATGGATAAATACAGGTACTTCAATAAAATGTAATTTTGGGTACTGTCAGATCTACATGTTACGCTACAAGTTTCTTCTCATAATTACATATTTAACAACTAGTAAGGCTAATGAGTACAAAGTTTTGGCGGTACTACACTACAAGGCAGAAGAGAATATCTGTCCTTGCAAGCAGTCTTGAAGACCTTCTGAAGAAAGGTAAGTATTTTTACACACTACAGCACAATTACAACACAGTGTTAGGTTATGTGCTCAAAAGAGGAATCTCAGAATTATTTAGAATATAAAGCCTTGTCATAAGAAAATCTGTACAGGTGTGACTACTGTACAGCCACAGTTGATGGCGTAAAACACTTTGTGAAAGTCTGGTGATCCAGATGTCAAGTAAAACCGATATGTGAATAGAAAAAAAATAGACATTTCACAGTATCATAGTTTTATTTACATTTGAATTGATTTTTTAAAAAAAAAAAATGTGATTCTACCTTTCTGTGTTTAATTTTTACTACATTTGCAAATTCAATAAATTATCATCATGTAAGTATTGCCTAATTGCAATAACTAGTGTCCTCCACTTTGATTTTCACAAACATTTAACATGGTGAACCCTAAATGTTAATCATCATAATTATTCACAAAATTTTAGCCTTGCAAAAATATCTGATTTCACAGTATAAAGAAAATTCAAACAAGTAGACTCAAAACACAAGCTTTTCACAAAATATAATAATCATGTTAACAGTAAAACAAACCCTACTTGATGATATTATTTAGAATTTTCTGGAAAGAAAGGAACAGTTGTCAAAATTTAAATTGAGTTCTATATATGCTGTTGAGATCCATATGTGATGGCAGAAATCATATTCATGAATATAACTACGGATCTCATCTATATAATATTTGATAGCTACAATACATAATTGTTATGTTAGAATGACTGTCTAATGTTTTACAGAAAAGATCTGTAGTTTGATAAATAATTCAAACAGTTTGATACTTAGATCTAGTTGGTATTGATGACTATTTTTCAGAAACACTAACTCAAGTTTTATTCAATATTTTAGCTGGTTGCAAGGAGGAAGTTTGATTGTTGTGCTGGAAAAAGATGTGACAGAAATGGAAGAAAACGCCATCCTTGACATATTCAAAACTAAGTATTGATGCTTCTAGAAGACAACAATTATGAGAACAGATATTCCAAAAGACACTGTTGTAATGTTTGGGCAGACACCAAAGATGCCAACATGTCAAAGACTGAGACAGAGTCCACAACTGTTACCACAGCGACAGAAATTGTAACACCATCTTGTAAGTTGCATGAAAAAATTGTAGATTTGAATTTCTGTCTTATCAGTTGACTATTAAAATCTGATATATAGTATAAGAATATTTTCTTGTCAAAAATGCCTGCAATATAACTGAAATACTATTGAAACAGGTGTTAAACTCCAACAATATTTCTGAGAACGGAACAATTAAGCTGATAACAGAACTTAATTTGAACATTAGAAAATGCAATATTGAATATAAAGAATTTAAATGAAGTTGTCATATAATACATGTGACACATTGAGTAATTTATAATGAGCAGGGGCATAACTTTAATTTACATGTATGCTCAGCAAAAAACCTGATCATCCAATCCACCCTTTATCAATACAGATGTTAACTGTGGCATTCAATCGGTTACCCCCAAAAAGGTCTTACTTCATTGAGTGATAGTCCAGGACCCCAACCATGCAGGCATGCTAGTCAGGGTCTGAGTCCTTGATGGATGTACATCCAAAACTGCATAGTTTAATCATGACATGGCTTAAATTAATTTCAAAGAAATACATGTTGTACTCAAAAGTACAAAAATCTTTTATCAATCTGCATATTTACATGTCACATTATAAGTCTTTATAATGAGGTCTATTTCTAGCAAGTCCTTTGGATATAATAAGTTAAAGATAAATTCCTAAAATGTGAGAAGACTATGAGTATGTATAAAAATAACCATGAAATGGTTATATTGTAATATTTACAGTATTGTTTGGATGTATATCATACAATGCAACGTTTAAAACTAACATGAAGGTTTGGTATTGCCCCCCAACAACCATGTTACATATTTGTTGCTGAACAGAACTTTTTTCCATGAATGTTGAGGAAAATACACACTAAAAAAATACTAAAAAAAAAAAAAAGAAATAATTTATAAATTAACATCATATATATGAGCATACACAAATGGCTGTTAATTGTGTCATAAATTGCATATTAAACATTAATGGTTATAAAAAATATTTGGAAAGTGAAATTTAAAGGCAGGTATCTATGCTGTTTTGCTACATTTCCTTTTTTAATTATCATATGATTATCAAATAAGCTAATTATAATAATTGTTTTTTCTTTTCTTTTTTCAGATGTTGTTGGAAATTAAATTTAATTCTTGCAGTAAGGCCACATCCAACCATTTTGTTGACAATCTAGAGATATTGTTTTGAAAGCAGTAAGTACACTTAAACCTGGAGGAAAAGAGGTATGAGTTAAGATTACTGTTAGGGCAGGCAACCTTGTGGAAAAAGGAAAAAGATATCATTGCAATCTTACTATGCATACAGCACAGCCTTGTTATAATGCGGCTTAAGACAGGGTTTCTATTGACGCACATTTCCTGCGTCCTTGACGCAAAAATAGTAACCTAGGACCCTCAATTACTCGAAGTGTGCGTCCATGGGGACGCAATTAAATTTTCCTCCGTAAATATCATTTGGAAATTCCTTCCGCTTCTTTAAAGGAAGTGAACGTAATTTGGTAGAATCGGGTTCTAATATTGAATGAGCAGAGTTATCTTTCTTTCAATTAATTACAGTTTAATACGGAATAAAACAGCGGCATACTAGAATTTAGTCGACCTTAAAAAAAGCGTCCCAGTCCATGCGTTTTTGTTATAAAAATAAATCGTATAACATGTCGGCTGCTCCCCCAATTTTAATGAAAAGTGGCTAAGTTAACTTACCCGTGGCTCGTCCAAAACGAGAAGACCACGGATATGAAATGCAGCCATTGCGTCTCAACCAAAAAATGTAATCCATTTGCCTCGGAAAATGGATGTTTGAACTTCCAAAATAGTAGATCTAGATACATTTGTCCGTATGCAGTTAAACAATTGATAAAATTAGTCGGACCAGATGTGAAAGATCTTGACTTTATGCAAGTTGCACAAACATTCAGCCAAATGAAAAAATAAAAAGTAACAATAAATAATAAATGGTTTATATTTTTTTATTTTATTTATCGATAACAAGGTCAATAAAAATGCACATGTAGTTGAACAATGTATATAAATGTAAAGAATTAAACCTAGACAATATATATAAGTAATACCCTACTTTAAAGTAATAAATGATTGGACCCTCATATTTTCTCTGGGACCTCATATTTTATGAGCAGACGTCCTGGGACTCTTAAAATAAAAATTCCTAGTAGAAACCCTGTAATAAGATTAATAATGTTTAAAAAGAGGGTAAAAATTGTATTCACAAAAGGTATAGAATAGAAAGAAAATTCCATATTTTTTTTTTAAATATATATATAAATACTTTTTTGTTTGGATATAATGTGGTTAACTAACATGGTCTATATAAAGGATTCCAAACTACCATGTTATAACAAGGTTGTGTTGAACAAGGAGACCCAGTCAGAAGTTGATTATGCTTCTGCACCTGTACATTAATCAAATAGTTCTGACAATGATTATTTGTTGTTGTTGTTTTTGTTTAGATATAAAATATCTGATTTTTAATACAAAATATGTAATTTTTAATTTTAATGTGCTTTGAAATACATTGTCTGACTGGACTTCAAAAATTTGCGACTTTTTCCTGAGATATATTGCAGGAAATCCAACATGGCATAATCTTGTTTTGTGGCTGATGTTTGTTTTTACAGTGCTTTTGTCACTTTTAATGCAAATATGGTTAAAATTGTTAAGCAGTGTGTTGACTGCTAATCATGTGTTCATTTTGTCATATTGAAAGCTGTGTTTAGGATCTGATTGTGTGCGTTTCTGTTTACTTAGAATTACTGATTTCTGTTGCAGTGCAAAGATGATTTGGACGTTATAAGAGCCATAGAAAGTAATACAGGATTCAAACATGGAAAGGGGTGCAAGACTAGATAAATTGTAGTTCTACATAAGGTATAGTAAATTTACCGGAATTTTTTTTTGTCAGTTTTGTATAATACCACTGAATTTAATTTTAACTTGAATACTTGCAGCCGCTAATCATGACAAGACACATTTGTAACTGACAAGGGACAAAATTCTGAAATTTATTAAATAAATTAATGTCAAAACTATCAAAGGTATCAGCACAAGACTTTGATAAATTCATTTTATATTTGCTTTACATTACAAGACACACTGTTCACACTGGATTGACTTGTAAACTTATTTAAGTATATGATAAGTATCTCTATAGATATGCCTCTTTGTCAAACATGGTATCTCATTTTTTGCCTGTCTTGTCACTTTATAAAGTAGACGAATGTTGGCCCTGCTCAGCATGGCATGGCAGAAGATCGAATTTCTGACCTACTGCTCCAGAAGCAGACATTAACTAACACTTTATTATGTGCTGGTTGGAAATGCTTAAGGTAGAAGATTTCCCTGATCCTGTTATGAAGGATGGTACTTATTCATTGTTTTATTCCATGTTCATTTTGCAGGATATTGAAGAAGCTAATCTGTCAAAGGTCCTGTCATCACAGCCTAATACTCCTCCAAGTGAAGCCTTGTTTTTATTTTTAACAACATAAAACTGGACAAACAGTATATTGTTGGAGACCAGTGCAAGATTCCACTTGAGACAGCCTTTCTTAGTCACAAGTTGGCTGGGTATTTACACTTTGTGGAAAAATTGGAAAACTAATAAACAAATAGAACCAACATTTTAAATTAAATTCAACCTTCTGTGTCATGGACATATTATTGACTTCTTAACAGCTTACCTTTTACCATGAAAAAACCTGCTTTTTTGCACTTGCAAAAACAAAGGTGCAGAATAGCTGTGTGGTAACCATCAGCTGATCAGTGCCTTTATTTTTTGCTGCATAGATGGTGCAATCCCTCCCCTTCCTTAATCAGACATTTAAATCCTCTTGATGTCTGAACATGAAGCTGTATATTTTGACTCTATTTGAAATAGCAAATGTCAAGTGTCAATATTTTTCAAAACAGCTAAGACTATGCTTCTTTTTAGGAACTTTTAAATACAGTGATTTATCAAATGATTATTCACTAGCAGAAAAGATTGACTTAATAATGCAGTGTTTAAACACTAATTTTATTATTTATGACATCAGTATGTTATTGCAGACTGTGACATTTTTATGTCAATGAAGCATTAAAATGCCATATATTATAAATTGTTTATTACAGTTAAGAAGTATTAGTGCTATTTGTTGTTTGCAAATGTTAATATGCTCTTATTTTGTACATGCTATGTAGTAAGTTTAATATATTGCATTGATGTCTTAAATAAGTTTGTATTTTGTTGATGTATTACTGTCTAACTTTAACACATGCTCACTTCATTATCATATTAGATTTATTAAATTTTCATTTACTGATTTCAAGTGGTAAGCAGAATTATTTACAGAGATCACTAGTTTTCACTGATCAGGCACCTTTGTTGTGCATTTAAATTTTTGGTGTTTTCGGAGTCAAAGAAATGATTTATCAAAATATTGTTTAAAGTTGCATTGTAACTTTTTAGAGTGCTAAAGTGTACCATTTTTTTTGTCTAAGCCTTAAGCGCACCACAACAAAAGACATTTATGAACCATCAGGATATATACTGTTACTGATAAAAAATAGAGCACTAGTGCACAGACTTTTGACTCCCCCCCCCCTCCTCGTAACCATGAAGTGTATTATAATTTGTCTGACAGTACTCGGACACATTATTGGGGACAGTCAACATTGAATGACCGATTTTTGACACTGTCTGAAAATACTGTTTGTTTTTTTCCAACCCAAATATGATACATATATGTGCCAAAACCGGGTTTTTTACAGAGAGGTAGGCTTTACTGTGTAAAAAGGTTTTATTTTTGTAGAGAGAAGTTAAATCCATTTTATATATGTTTTCATTTTACCTGAAATTCTACTGATATCCATATATCAATTTGTTTTTGTTGTTTAATTGTCTATCTATCTATTTACTTAATTGTTTGCCTAAATATAACTGTAATCTGTTTTATGTATTTATTTTATACATTCATTTTTAATCCCCTTCTGCATAGAGGGGAGGGGTCAAATATTCATGTTTATAACTTTTTGACATGGAAGATTTTAAATATTTTAGCATAAATAATCACGACCATGGCACAACAGCCAGGTTTTTCTCTAAAAGACATGGTTTGTTAAAGATCAAGAAGTACAGATTCCTGTCCACTGCGAAGGGGATATAGCTGTCCTTCAGACTGCCTTGTTTTTAATTGTTTGAAGTTTCAATATGAAAATGCTCTTTTTAATTTTGTGATTTGTAACACCAGAATTTCGGGTATATTGCATTGGATTGTAACATGGCTGACAAGGTGACAGTAAAATTGCCACCTGTAGGAAATGCTACCTCAGTTGACAGTGTTTTTCCAAAAGTTGTTAACTTTACTGTCACTCTGTCAGGCATGCAATATTAATTTTATTATACCAAAAATACTATTATGATAATGGTAGGGTGTCTTGATCTATTTAACATTTATGTGCAGTAATGAAGAACAATTAGTATTTAACCTAAATTTCAAAATGCTATTAAAATGTGTATAATATGTTTATGTGTCATTGTTCACATTTTTTGGTTGATCGTGTTTTGAAATAAAACATGGAAACTATTAAAACGTGTAAACGTGTTTTAAATCTGTTACAGTCCCAAAACACGTGTTAGGTGTTTTCAGACAAAACACCTAAACACGTTTTCTAGGAAAACACCCGTGTTTTAGTGTGAAACATCAGTGTTTTGTGAAAACACCGCAACATGTTTTAAAACTGTTACAGATAGGTGTTTTCACATGTGTTTGGAATCAAAACACTGAGATTTAGAGTGAAATCATTAATGTGAATGATCGGCAATGAGAACGTTTACAATAAGTATTTCAAATTTTGACAATAAGTATATTTCAAAGATTGATAAAAACAACAGAATTGTATCACTTTAATATTCCTACAAAACATTTCTTGAGATTAAATACTTCAAAGCGATTTGATATGAGTAATCATATGATGAATAATAATATTTTCTTTTAAAAATAATTTAATACAGTCATGTTATATAAAGGTATGCCATATCTGATTTTGTACCTCACTTAACAATAACATGTATTACATATAATCATTTCATGGTATATTGATACGTATGATACAAAATACTATCAACGTCATTATTTATGACATTATATGAGCCGTGTCATGACAAAACCAACATCCGCGCAGTCTGGTCAGGATACATGCTGTTCGCAAACCCATTATGGTGGTTTTGTCGTGACGCGGCTCAGATTATATTCTTTTATGGACAAATTCAAAAATTTGACATAGACTTTATACAAAATAAAACTCTATTATCTCCCTTTATTTACATGAAATGATAAATTCGGTTATATCTTTATAAATAATGCTTTTTGGAACTTACAAAATTGATCAATCTTAATTTGAGCATCATATTTATGAAATAAAACCATAAAAAATTGGGTTACAGGATCTTCAAAATTGTTTAAAAAATGTTTTTGCTATAAGTACAATTGATTACGTATTTTGAATGATGCAAAAATACTACTCTGTTTATATTTTTTTACTTTTATGACAAATAATGTCATATTCAGCGATAATTTTTTTAAGTGATAAGCATCGTGAATATGCTCTAAAAATCATAATTTTAAACATGTTATAAATCTCATATATACCTTTTCTGAAGAAGGAAATATTTCCTTGTTAGGCATAATGTGCCTTTAATCCAACTTGAAAAATTTAAAAGAAAATAAAAGTAGGATTAACAAAGAGATTTTGTTTGACTGATTTAAAAACATTATACATACTAATACAACAACAACAACAACAACAACAAGATTTGTATTTAATGGGTTTTGAGAAATCATTTAACAATAAAATGTTGCGCTTACGATCCATTGTTATAATATGAAACACAACATTTCAACCATATGGATTTATGATATTCCACCAGCCTTGTTCCATGAAGCGCTGAGAAACCTTAGAGTTCAGAAACCTACAAAAAAGCTATTCTGGTGAGCTTATTTCATTGTGATAATGACTTTCTATACCAAATCCTGCAATGAAAACATTTGAAACAATAACAAACAAAACAAGAACGCTTCCAGTCCTATCCAGCATGTTGCAATTCTTTCCTTTCGTTTCATTTGTGGATCGTCTTCACTGGGTTTCGTCTCTATTTGTTTCGTCTCTATTTGTTTTTCT